CCCCAAAACCCCAAAACCCCAGGAGATAATATCAGTTCTTAAATTATATTGAAACTAAAATATAATATTTAAATTTGAAATGATAAAGATCAGCATTTTATTCCCTTTGCTACTTTTTATAACTCAAACTCTAGCTTTTAAATATACCTTTAACAATAGAACCTTTGAGCAATATAGAATTAAAACCTATGCCAAAGGTTACATTGAGGAATATCTAGAGGGTCAAAATGATTTATACTGCGACTCCTGGGTATTATTTCCTGGGACAACTCTGATCAGCAATGATAAGTTGGGAGTTGCTTATCTATTCGTATTATTCTACTTATTTATTGGAATAATCGTACTCTAAGATATACTTTTTGGTGCTGTTGAAGTAATACTCTCTCAAAAGGCAATGATAATAAGAAGGGATAGGTAAGAATTGTAACATTTTTATACATTTTAGAAACAATAATTAAATTGAATTACCCATTGAACTTTGGAACCCAACCGTAGCCACAGTCACTATAATGGCGATATCAGCCAATTCTCCTTTGTTACTGATGAATCTAATAGATCTTATTCTTGATACAAGCGGAGAAATCAATACCAATCAGATTGGGATATTCGCACTTATAGGATAATCTTCTTTTTTATGTATGTTTGTAAGTGGAGTGGTCATTATGAGCCTCACAGCTCCAAAAGTCAAAAAGATTTTAAACCTCGATGTATATCTCACACTTGCTGCCTTCTCAGTATTTGGCTTGATATGGATATATTTAATACTAGGAGTTTAAAGTCCATCTTAGATTACCTTCCCAGAAGCATTCATCACTTTGACTCTCTATTTTAGCATGGTTTTAGTGCTATACATTATTGACAAAAACAGGGAAGTAAAAATGCCACAATATTATGATAGAATCATTAGTCATTCTCTAGAGAAAGTTTAAAACCCTTACTCTTTTCCCTAGTATCAAGCATTCTATGAACTCTAACAAATAATAAGAACCAAAGGATAGATGCATATAATTGATATCCTAGTAAATGATTCAAACAATATTGATGAATTCGAGAAAGAACGAGTCAAAGTGCTGACAATGAATGCTTTAGATCTAGAGTAAATAGAGGAAATCATCTGTGATCCAGACTAGATTGGATTTATATTGCAGAATCTTTACCAGTAGTCTCTTGATCAACTATTCTATAGAACTTAGTTTTTAAGCAGATTTACTAACTCTGGCAACAGCTTTATCAAAGTTAACAAATTTTATTGTCAGAAATTCGTTGACAATGAAGAAATTACCAGCTAGAGGCCAAATCCTAGAATTGGGTTCAAGAGTCTACAATACACTGTTGTCGAGGACTGTGGAAGCTTTACCGTTACTATTTGCAAAAAAACAAGGGAGGAAATTACAGTTGGTATTAGGACAATCGATGGAACCGCAAAGTAGAATTCTGATTATATACCCATTTCAGAAAGTGTAAAGGTTTCTTATCTCGAGTATAAATTAGACGTTAAAATTGTTGATGATGATGAATACGAACCAGAAGAGGAATTCTTTATTGAGTTATTTGATCCAGATACAAATAAAAGATTAATAGGAGAAGATACAATCACTAAGATTGTCATAGTTGACGATGCTAAAGACCCTATTATAGGATTCAAGTAGGTTAGTTAGAAAATTCACCCAAGAGAGAGGTATGTCTCAGTCAAAGTGACTAGGATGGGGGATACCAACTCTAAAGCTTCAGTATTTTACTATACAGATGAAATCAAAGACAATGTAAATTGTGCTGTAGAAGGAGAAGACTTCGAACCAATTAGAAAGGCTGAGCTAGAGTTTGATATTGGGGAGTTGGAAAAACAGATTGATATAAAACTGGCTGAAAAAGATGATGACGAGTTAGATGAAGATGATGAAATATACTTAGTTTTCAATGTCAAGTTGTTTGATCCTTAGCCAAATAATATAAGACTTAGCTTAAAGGACACTTGCATGGTTGAGATCACTAATGAATAAAATCGTAAGTTTCGTTTCAAATTTCATTAACACTTCAATATAGCTGATTACAAGCATTACAAGGAGGTGACTAACTTGCTGTCATATTAACTCGAATCTTAATGCGTAAGAGGATGGGGTGAACAATTCAAGGAGGCTTGTAAGCTATACCCTAATGTCAATTAATATGGAAAAGTTGAGGATATCACTCTATCATAATGCTTTGCTCACCTGATCACAATAGGTTGGAAGGCATTTTTTTCAATAATACCACCCAGGCATTATTTTTATGGTATTCCAACGTTTTTCTCCTGCTATGCCATGATGGCTGTTATAATGTTTTTAGTTAGAGAATTCGCCAAATTATTCGCATGCGTCAATTAAGTATCTGAGGCTGTTGTAGGATTTACTATACTTGCTATTGGTGTATCAATAACTGATATTTTTGCTTTGAGAAGAACTGCAAAGAAATCTCCTTATATTTAAGGACTTTGTGGAAGTGATTAGACTTTGGGATATTTACTAGGCAGTGTCTGTGTGAATATTTATTTAGGACTGGGATTACCCTGGCTTGTGGCTATTGTATATGTTGGAGTTTAGGAAGGTTAACCTTATATTATTTCTGAAGGAGAAGATATATATTTTTCAACATTAATTCTAGCAATTGTATTGGCCACAATAATCGGTATTTAATTTATTAGAAGATGGAAATCTGGTGGAGAAATAGGCAGTAAAAATGCTTGTGAAAAAAATTCATTTGGTCTAACGGTTATATTAGCATGGCTAGTATATACAATTATGGTATGTATGAGATGTTATGATTAATATTGATTACTTATATGATTATTTTAATTTCAAGATTTCTAGTGAAATTGCAAAGAAGGGGTTTTGGGGTTTTGGGGTTTTGGGGTTTTGGGG